TTTCCTCAGTGGAGATGGAGCATGGTATGTTATCTAGTTCATTTTAAGGTTAAGCCTGGTCCTTTCATACACATCCTAAGTCTGTTATGTTATTCCAAACCTTTACTTTTTACTCATGATCTTTCTCTCCAAGTTCTCAAAAGTCCGAAAATGCCCGGCTGGCGTGGCTCAGTGGTTGAGCGTTGACCTATGAACCAGGAGGTCAGGGTTCAATTCCTAGGTCAGGGCACGTGCCCGGGTTGCGGGCTCGATCCCCAGTGTGGGGTGTGCAGGAGGCAGCGATCAATGATTCTCATCATTGATGTTTTTATCTCTCTCTCTCTCCCTTCCTCTCTAAAATCAATAAAAATATATTTTTTAGTCCTAAAATATTCCACAAAGTGAAATGATAGATCAGAGGAAAGAGTACCTTTCTCTCTTTCAGCCTATTTTCTCTATTACACAGGGTGGCCAACAGCACTTCGGCCAGAGGGAGAGCCCACATTGTACTAGAATAAAGAAACAAGTGGCAAAGCCAAAAGACTGTTTGGAATCTGGTCTGAGGACAAAGAGAGTCCCTCCCTGGGAACAAGAAGTCCTGAGGTCAGAATCCAGAAACACCTTGAATGGGTAGGAAGCATTCTGGGAAGTTGGTAAGAGAAGCAATTTAGGATCGGTGCCCCAGGCAACACAGGGGTGCCTCAAGATGCCTACTTTATCTATAATAATAAAAGCGTAATATGCTAATTAGACCAGATGTCCTCCCAGACTTCCTTCCTTCCCGACCAAGCAGCAGCAGAGGCGGCAGAGGCCTGTGGTGGCGGGCGGGCGGGGGCCAGGGCCAAGGCCCTTGCACGAATTTCATGCATCCGGCCTCTAGTATACAAATAATACACATTCGTCACAGAGAAAAAATTATATGAATACTAAAGAGAATTAAATCACCCGTAATCCTGTTGTTACAAGCGGAGAGAGGTCCTCATCCCCACCCATTGCTCCTGGGAGTGGACAGTCCAAGAAAAAGAATTTTCTGAGACGTGCACAGGAGAGTGAGTGGTTTTTATTTGTATGGAATTAAACCCCCGAGTTCCCCAAAGTCCCATTTCCCTCAGTCCCGCCAGAGAAGTCCCATTTTGCTTTTAAAAGGGCTAAAATAGAAGCCAGTGTCTGAGTTTCTGCTCCATGCTGAAGCGGTCTGATCCAGCACCACGCTAGCTTCGTTTGTGTTTCCAGCTGCAGTCCATCAGTCCTTCCCGTGTGGGGTCCGCCCGGCAGTGGGCCATGCAGGCGAATGCAAGGGAGCCAAAAGCAACAAGAGAGACAGCGCCTTTGTTAAGGGGATTAAGTACCCCAACATTTTCAGGCTTGCAGTGGCTCCACCCATTCTGGCCAATGAGCTCTGTTCTCAGGTGTGATTGATAGGTAAGTACCTTCCCCAGGTTGCCTTGTGGAGCAGCTGCCCGAGGGTGTGAGGTCGGCAGTTGGAAGGGAAAGGGAAGTTCAGGGAGAGAGTTTTGTTGCTGATATTTGTGTCTTACAAGATGGGAGAGAAAACCAATCAGGGTAAAATGTAAACAATTGGTGGATTTGAGTAACGTATGTGTAGGAAAAGCTACTCCCTCCAAAGAAAAGGGAGCCATCATATTACTCCCCTGCTTGCAACTCTAATGGCTTCCCATGATAAGAAACGGAAAACCCCTTATACAGCGGTTCTCAACCTGTGGGTCGCAACCCCTTTGGGGGTCGCCTAAGACCATCGGAAAACACATATATAATTACATATTGTTTTTGTGATTAATCACTATGCTTTAATTATGTTCAATTTGTAACAATGAAAATACATCCTGCATATCAGATATTTACATTATGATTCATAACAGTAGCAAAATTACAGTTATGAAGTAGCAACGAAAGTAATTTTATAGTTGGGGTCACCACAACATGAGGAACTGTATTAAAGGGTCATGGCATTAGGAAGGTTGAGAACCACTGCCTTATTGGGACAGACAAGGACCCTGCGATGGGCCCTGCTTATCTCTCTGGCCTTTCTCCTTTCATTCCATTCTTCGACCTCAGCCTTCCAGAGGGGAGTACTTTAGCTCATTTCTGCCTCAGGGCCTTAGGACTTTGGCTCCCTCTATCTGAATACCATACCCCTACCTTCAGCCCACAGTGCCGAAGTAGACAGCCGTATCTCCAGGAGATTGTAAATCCCAGGAGCACTTCACCCTACACCCTGCACCTGCCATTCAGCCTAAAAGGACTTGCTCAATAGCTTTGAAAGAATAAATGAACAAAGAGGAAGGAGACGGTGGCCACCGAGTGCGTTAGTGAAGGAAGTGGAGCAGCAAGGACGGCGAGGTCTGGGTAAGAGTGGGTGTGGGTCCCTGAAGTGCAGTGGAGGCAGCTCTCCGAGCTGTGAATGGAGACAGTAGATGTCTATGAGTACAAGGCAATATGTGACACAGGAGGAAAAGACAGTTTCTATTGTTTCCCCATTTCCCTCCCGTCCTTGGGAGCTGGAAAAGGAGCTGCCAGGGGTTACAGCATTTGCTTCTACTCCTTCTTGGAAACCATTAAAGCTGCATGTGAATCTTTGCTGCACTCCTAGAAGATAGAAACTAGAAAATAGCCCAGGGAAGCCAAAATCCTGACTTTGATTCATAAACACGTTTTTTTTAAAAAAAGAAAGGAAGGAAGAAAGGAAAAAGAGAAATGGTGGTGATGACCCCCAACCATCGTCAAGAAAGCTCTTGGACTTTCATTGGTTTGGTATTAATGGAAGCCTTTTATCTTCAGGACTTTGTACTTGTTCTGCCAAGCAGAGGGAAGGAAAATGCAGACAGCTCTGTCTGCATAATCACCCCCTGCCGGCCCTCCCCCAATTTGGAGCTCCGCTGGAGGCTCACCCTGCTGGCTCTCAGAGGCCCCAGGCGAGCATGAGAAATCAGTGAGAAAATGTTCCTTTAGATGTCAAATCCGCAGCTCCTACCAGAAAACAGAGCCAGATGAAGAAAGCCGCAGGCAAGGACAGGCAAGCCCTTATGTTGCTTCTGTGAACATTCGAATAATTTCCTCACAAATGCTTAGCCTGGAGTTTTTAGACCAAATGCTAATATGTTCTACCCTGAAACACAATTTACGAAATGAAGGGATCCTTTCCCAGGGCATCTCACCATTACTCTTATGCCTCTTTATCTCTTGGTAGGACCATTTTCAAGGGAGAATAATTTATTTAAAAGTATATTTTACAATATATGGCTTCCTCCAAAGAATTGCCTTTTCTCCCATTTTCTATAATAACTTTTTTAAACAAAAGTTTTAATTTTTGAATGATTTTAGATGTACGGAAAAGTTACAAAGATAAGGCAGTGCCCATAAACCTCTCACCCAGCTTCTCCTACTGTTAACATCTTATATTATTCTGGTACATTTATCACAACTAAGGAACCAACACTGGCCCGTTATTATTAACTACTAAAGGCCCAGTGCACGAAATTCATGCGGGGGGGGGGGGGGGGATGTCCCTCAGCCCGACCTGCACCCTCTCCAATCTGGGAGCCCTCAGGGGATGTCCTACTGACAGCTTAGGCCCGCTCCCCGTGGTTCTCTGCTCTCTGCGGACCTGCCTGCTCGACGCCACCGCAGGCCCTGGTGTCTGCTCTCTGCGGGGGCCTGCTTGCCCCTCGCCTCCACAAAGAGGGGCAAGCAGCACCCTGCTGACTGCTCACCATGGGGTACTGGGGCGCTGCTTGCCCCTCGCCCCACGGCGAGGGCTTAAAGGACTGGGGGACTCCAGTGGTGCTGAGGGGACTGGGTGCTGCCATCTTGTGGCTATGGGCGCCGCCATCTCTGTGGCGAAGTGACGGTCAATTTGCATATTCCATCTTTATTAGATAGGATTCGTGCAAGAGTAGGCCTTCCCACGGCTGCCAGCACCAGCTTCCCTCTGGCACCCGGCTTCATCCGGAAGGTTGTCCAGAAGGACATCTGGTCTAATTAGCATATTATGCTTTTATTATTATATATTAAACTCCACATTTATTTGGATTTCATTAGTTTTCACCTAAGGTTTTTTTTTCCATTTCAGATTTCATCCAGAAATACCATATTACATTTAATCATCATGTCTCTTTAGGCTCCTCTGGCTGTGACAGTTTCTCAGATTTTCCTTGTTTTTTGATGACCCTGACAGTTTTGAGGAGTAGTCGTCAGAGTTTATACTGTCCCTCAAATTAGGATTGTCTGATGTTTTCCTCACAATCAGGTGGCCATTGTGGGCTTTTGGAAAGCACACCTCCGAGGTGCAGTGCCCTTCTCATCATGCCAGGGGTGGACGACATTACAAGGCATCCCTGGGGAAGTTCACCTTCATCATTCAGTTAACGCCGAGTTTGCCAGGTTTCTTCACTATAGCGTTACCATTTCTCCCTTTCTGTAATCTATTCTTTGGAAGCAACTCACTAAGTGTAGCCTACTCTCAAAAAGGTGGAGGGGCCTGGGGTGGGGTAGTGGGGGAGTGGAGACTAAGCTCATCTCCTGGTGAATGTACTAAATGGAATTCTTCTGTCAGGAAGATTTGTTTCTTCTTCCTCATTCATTCATTCATTCATCTATATCTGTGTGGACTTATATTAATTTTTACTTTGAGTTATAATCCAACACTATGTTATTAATTTTTGAAATAGAAATTTTTAGGGGTGAAATAGGCAGGTTTAGGGAATTTTTTAAATTAAGGGGGTCCATGGACAAAACACAGGGCTACAGAGTTGCAAAAGGTTACATTTCCATAAGGCAAGGGAGTTGGGAGAGGCAGCAGTTACATTTCCAAAAGATAAGGGAACTGGGAGTAGCAAAAGGTCTATATTTACAAAATAAAGAAGGAGGAAGAAAGCCCAGAGGGAATAGGAGAACAATGAGGGAGGAGGGCCTCACATGTCCCATGTGAGGTTTGACCTTTGAGCTGAGGAGTTGCTATAGTGACCAAATCAGAAGGGAATAGTGACCAATCGAAGGGGATATCGAGGCACAAAAAACTGCAGACTTTATAAACCGTGAAAAAAGGAACTCGGTGGGACTCTTTCTCCCTCCCCAGTCTGTGCTGTGTGACTCCCCCTCCCCACATGGGAGTCTGTGCTGTGTGACTCCCCCTCCCCACGTGGGAATCTGTGCTTGTCCTTCAATAAATTTCCACCTTTGCTGTACATCTTCTGTCTGTGGTTTCATTCTTCGACTCTGATGGACAAAGAGCCCAGGGAAGCCATCCTGCCCAGGGGAACGCCGTGTGCTCCAGTCCAAAAATCCCGTATCATGATGTTACTCAAATGGTTCCATCTTTTGCTGCCTGGCATTCTTTCAGGTTGGTCCTTGGGGCCCCTTGACATGCTCCTGTCCTTATAAAAACATACAAATGAAAGATAATCAGTTATCTTCTGAGGCACTTTATTCTTTTTATTTTTGCAGTTTATTTTTTGTTTTGTGTGTGTTTTTTAATCTTTATTGTTAAAAGTATTACATATGTCACCCTTTTCCCCCATCAGTCCCCTCCAACCTCCCCTGCCCTCACCATCCCACTGTCTGCATCCATAGGTTATGCATATAAACATACAAGGTCTTTGGTTGATTACCTCCCACCCACCTACCCTCTCCCACTTTCCCTCCGAGATTCCGCACTCTTGAGGCACTTTATTTTTAACATTACATACTGTGGCACTGACATTGATACTAATCTTAAAAGCAAATTGAGGGGGGTGGGAGGGAGGAGGGAAAAAAAATTGAGGTGCTAAGTGATCAAGACTGATTGAATAATGGTGATTTCAAAGTAAAAGAATAAAGACAGTATTTTACCTTTACAAGAGCATCTGAGAATGTTCAAAGCATTTTTGAGTCCATTCATTTTTCAGCCCTGACTAAGGTAGTGAGAAGTAACAGGACAGGAAGGCTCAGAAAACATGTTTTGCTCACTAACCTCAGGATCACTTTCCTAACTGGCAGAGCTGGACTAGAATCCAGGCATCTCAATTGGGTCTAGCATTCTTTTCATTGCACTTCTAGAATAAGCCTGACCCTCAGGGTGGCATGAAGAGAGAGACTTTCAAAAGAATCCACAGGAAGAGATATATCTAGTAACAGAAAAATCAAGGCAAAGATTATGAAAAATTATAGTGTTCTGAAAAACAAAGACCCAAACCATGTAATGTTGGATGGTTGTTTTTGAATTCCCTTAATTCCCCATCAAGTTGGGTCCTGCACAGACAGTCAGGTTCACTCTTTGTTTATTTCTTGGCTTGAGTCACTAAGTCAAGTTGATCACAATGTGCAGCCTAAACACCTGAGGGCTGATTTCTTCCCACCTCTTCTTTGGGATGAAAATTTCTCAAGTGAGTAGGTGTTATTTGCCAAGAGAGAACTTCACTTAAAAATGCTTAACAGGGAGTGATGAGTCCTAGTTTCTTTTTCTCATGAAACTTTTCAGTAATTAAGTAGGAAAATTTTGTTTAAAAATTGTTTTAAATTATAACTCATTTAAGTTAAATTCTGTATTGTTTGATCATTGTTAACTTCTTTTTATTTTATCATAGCATTTTCAAGAGTTCTTTAAGTTAAATCATTAGGAGGTTGGCTAGAGTGTTTCTCTGAGTAATATTGTTCTACAAAGTGTATATGAATAGTGTATTTTCTGGGTCCTTGAAAAAATGTAGAATGTGTGAGAATACTTTCTGTTGAATGGCATATGACAAATAGCTTAGCTGGGTATAGGATTCTTGGATCACAATAATTTCCCTTCAAATTTTGTGGCTATTACTTCACTGTCTCTGGTACTTGGTGTTAAAGAGGAGAAGTGTGATGATATTTGATTAATTTTCTATGAGGTAGATAGCCTTTTTTAAATTTTTTTATTTTTTTAAATTTTTTTTAGAGTTAAAAATGAAAGTGAGTTTATTAGTGAATCAGTGAGACAGAGCAGGTAGATAGCCTTTTAAATAAAATATCTCAGTATTTGTCAGATTCCTTTTTTCTACCCTTAAATTTTTTTTAAAAATTCTGATTATAAAAGTAAGATTGGAGGTTATAGAAAATTTAAAGAAGAAAATTAAACATGATAATGAAACTACTACCTCTAGATAACTATTACTGTATTAAAATACTAGTACACTAAAAATAAGGTAAGATAATAATATATTTATAATTACATACAATAGAGAAAGTTTTGAAATTATATGAATTTATAAACAATTCTAATTGCTTTAAAATCTGAACAATTTATTTGAAAGACAATGGTTCTTAAGATTTGCAGCTATGGAATTTCATTGAGAATGTGATAAAATATGAACTCTCCAGAAAATGCAGTATACACATACCTCCAAAATTCTGCATACAATTTCAAAGATTTCATGAAGTTCGTCTCCCTCAAATGAGTTTCCTTGTGTGAAACATTATAAAGGTACACTTTTATAATGTTTACCTTTATAATGTTTCACACAGTGTTTAATGCAAGTATGCTAAAATGAACCCTAGATGCATGGGCTGCATTTGGTATTAGATGATATAATAGAGAGTAATTCTCAGAATTATCATTTTGGCCAGGCAGTTAGTGTTAAGTCAAACAGTTATAAATACATGTTTGCATTACATTAAGAGATATTTTACAGCCCTAGCTGGTTTGGCTCCGTGGATAGAGTGTCAGACTGCAGACTGAAGGGTCTCTGGTTCGATGCCAGTCAAGGGCACATGCCCAGGTTGTGGGCTCGATCCCCAGTAGGGGGCGTGCAGGAGGCAGCAGATCAATGATTCTCTCTCATTATTTTATTTTTCTATTTTTTTTGGTGTTTCTATTTATTGACTTTAAAATTCATCATCCAAAGAAAGTTAATACATGACTGCTTGGTAGCAAGAGAAACACAATCTAAAACCGCAATGACCCACCCACCCCAAACAAAAACAGAACCAAACAAACCCCATCTGAAACCAGACCTTTGGAGCGGTAGCTGAAGCAGCGAGGGGGCTGGGGCTCAGACTGGCTGCTGTGGTCCAGGGGCAGGGGAGAGGCTGCCCTCCAGCGATTCCCAGTTGAAGAGGCCATGTCCAGCCCCTCGGCTTTGGGCATCTTTCCTGGAGGGGCTGCCCCTGGCAGGAGGGGTGTGAAGAGAGGGATTCAGTGGACAGAGTGAGGGGGCTCCTAGGTCCACCCTCCTACGGTGACCGCATGTGCCAGCGCATGAGACACAGTCTCTCTCATTATTGATGTTTCTATCTCTCTCTCCATCTCCCTTTCCTCTCTGAAATCAATTAAAAAAAATTTTTTAAAAAGATATTTTACAAAATAAGATATAGAATTTGTGTATTAACTAAAATGTCCTGCTGTTTGACTTTGTACCATACTATCAGGCATAAATAAGCAGGAATGAGCATAGTACAAATAGGCATGAATTAAAGTCTGTCACTTGGCCCATAGACATAAAATGGGAGGAAAGTTTTCAAGGTAGTGATGATACATTGTGCTGCAACATCTGATTCACAATCTGGTTTCTGGATGTGGGCACAGCACTAAGCTACATTTATATTTGAAACTAACGATTCCCTGTAGGTAGTAAACAAATATTATAGTGTTTCACATCTTTTATGCCTAATTAGACAGAAAATTCTGTATCTTTTTGCAGCCTGTTTTTAGGCCACAAGGTTGAAGTTAGTAAAGGGGATTTGAGAGGAATTTGTTGATAATATAGGTAGAGCAAAAGTCCTACAAGAAATCATAAGTAAATATATTAATAAACTTTGAATGAGCTCTGGCCAGTGTGGCTCGGTTGGTTGGGCATTGTCAGGAGGTTGTCTTTTCAATTCCCCATCAAGGGCACATGCCCACGTTTTGGGCCTGATCCTCAGCAGTGGGCATGCAGGAGGCAGCCCTATTGATGTTGTGCTCTTGCATTGATGTTTACCTCTTCCCCCCTTTCCCTTCCTCTCTCTAAAATCAATAAACTATTCTTTTTTAAAAAAATATATATTTTATTAATTTTTTACAGAGAGGGATAGAGAGTTAGAAACATTGATGAGAGAGAGACATCAATCAGCTGCTTCCTGCATACCTCCTACTGGGGATGTGCCCGCAACCAAGGTACATGCCCTTGACCGGAATCGAACCTGGGACCCTTCAGTCTGTAGGCCGACACTCTGTCCACTGAGCCAAACTGGTCAGGGCAATAAACTATTCTTTAAAAAAATATTTTTAAATGAGAGCAGTCCTAGCTGCTGCTTTTATGCAAAAAATTGACAAGCTGATCCTAAATTTTATATGGAAACGAAAGGGTTTCAGTAAAGCCAAAACAATCTTGAAAAAGAAGAACAAAGGTAGGATTCACACTTCTTAATTCCAAAACTTGCTGCAAAGTAACAGTGAATCAAAACTGTGTGGTGCTGGCACAAGTATAGACATGAAGATCAATGGAAAGGAACTGAGGGTTCAGAAATAAACCCATACATGAAAGATCAGTTGATTTTTTACAATGATGCCAAAACAGTTCAATGGGAAAAGAGTAGTCTTTTCAACTAATGGTGCTGGGATAAATAGAAAACCACATGCAAAAGAATGAAGTTGGACCATACTACCTCACACTATACTACACAGAAATTAACTCAAAATGGACCAAAGGCTTAAAAATAAGAGCTAAGCCCTAGCTGGTTTGGCTCAGTGAATAGCGTGTCGACCTGTGGACTGAAGGGTCCCAGGTTCGATTCCAGTCAGAGGCACATGCCTGAGTTGTGGGGTCGATCTCCGGTAGGGGGCATGCAGGAGGCAGCAGATTGATATGTCTCTCTCACATTGATGTTTCTCTCTAAAAAAAAAATAAATAAATAAATAAACACACACACACACACACACACACACACACACACACACACACACTAAAATCCCTAACATACAAAGATCTCATAAAATTTCAGGAAAAAACAATGTTGTGGGAAATTTTCCAAATTGCATAAAGAGGCAATCCTCAAAAGAAGTAAAAAAAAAAAATGATTAAGGAAGAGAAGGAAATGCCCAACATCATTTACAGAAATGCGAGTTAAAACCACAGCAGGCTATTATTTTTACCTATCCAACTGCCAAAGCTTTTACAAATTCATAAATACCCAGTGTTAGTCAGAATGTTAGGAAACAGGCGCTTTTGATGGCAGTGTAAATTAGTACAATTGTTTTTGAGGGCAAAATGCCTTTAGTTATTAAAATTAAGTGCTTACTAGACTTGGATCTAGTTGTTCTTTTTGAAGTTCAACACAGAGAAATTCTAACACAAATAGGCACAGATGTGTATAACAAGGATGCTCACTGGAAATTAGAAACACGTGTCCTTCATAAGGTGCTCAAGTAAATAATAAGATTATGTAGCCACTGAAAAGAAACAGTTCTAAATGAAAATATGTTCAGGATAACTTAATGGGAAAAATAAAAAGCAAGTTGCAGGAGGTATAGGGACTAGGGAGGCAAGGCCAAGGGCATAATACTTAAGGAAGCACTCACTGTTAGCATGGTAGGGGTGCAGGTTTGGTCCCTGAGAGTGAATGCCTCCTTAAATTTTACATCCTAGTCTCTCTCCTCTTCTGCCTCATTCTAATCTCAGCTCTGCAATATAGTGTGTATAAAATAACCCCATATTTTTAAATAATAATTACATATATAAATAAGTATAATTAAGTTGGTACAAAATTTTTGGGTGGCATATACATATATATGTGTATACATATATGCAATATATATACATATGTATCTATATATTAGTTATATTATATACTAGAGGCCCGGTGCACAACAATTTGTGCACTGGGGGTGGGGGGGTCCCTCAGCCCGGCCTGTGCCCTCTCGCAGTCTGGGACCCCTCGGGGGATGTCCGGCTTGTTTCGCCCCCGCCTCCCTCCGCTGCCCGGCTTGTTTTGCTCCCGCCTCTGCCGCCTGTCTTGTTTTCGGCCGCCTGGCTTGCTTAGCTCCCAGCCGGTATATGCAAATTACCACCATCTTTGTTGGCTGTTAATTTGCATATCACACTGATTAGCCAATGGGAGGTGTAGCGAAGATACGGTCAAATACCATGTTTGGCTATTATTAGATAGGATATATACTAGAGGCCCAGTGCATGAAATTCATGCACGGGTAGGGTCCCTAGTGGCTGCTGACTGCTGGCTAGGGCCTCCCTTCCCACAGTTGGCTGGCTGGCTCTGCCTCCTGGTCAAACTCCCAGTAGAAGGGAAAATTTGCATATTAGGCTTTTATTATCCTATATAATAAAAGTCTAATATGCAAATCAACCAAACGGTGGAACGACCAGTCCCTATGAAGTGCACTGGCCACCAGGGTGCAGATGCTCAACGCAGGAGCTGCCCCTTGGTGGTCAGTGTGCTCCCACAGGGGGAGCACCGCTCAGCCAGAAGCCGGGCTCATGGCAGTCAGACATCCCCTGAGGGCTCCCAGACTGCAAGAGGGTGCAGGCCGGGCTTTGGGACCCCTCCCCCACAAGTGCATGAATTTCGTGCACTGGGCCCTCAGCCCGGCCTGTGCCCTCCCCCAGTCCGGGACCCCTCGGGGGATGTCCACCTGCCAGCTTAGGCCCACTTCCCAGGGGATCAGGCCTCACCTGGCAGTCAAACATCCTTCTGGCAGCCCAGAGCCCTTAGGGAATGTCCGACTGAGGGCTTAGGGCTTGTGCACTGGGGGGTGTGGGGGTCCCTCAGTCTGGCCTGTGCCCTCTAGCAGTCTGGGACCCCTCAGGACATCCTTAGCACTGTGGAGGAGGCAGGAGAGGCTAAAATTGAAATCATGGCAGATTCAGAAACTAATGTCTAATTCCTTTTCACAGGTGTCAAAAATATTTCAACTCTTATACTCTCACAGGTAGAATGAATTGTGTATTGGACACATTTGGAGGCATTGCTCTGCTGGTTTTATACTTCAAGTTAAGGTCTCAAAAAAAAAATCAGCTGTGAAAGCAACATAAAAAGATACTAGACCTGGCCGGGTAGCTCAGTTGGTTAGAGCGTTGCCTTCATACACCACGGTTGGGGATTTGATCCTGGTCAGGGCACATATAAGAAGCAAGCAATGAATACATAAATAAGTGGAACAACAAATCAATGTTTCTCTCTCTCTCTCTCTCCTCTTCTCTCTAAAATCAATCAATAAAAACTTTTTAACAAAAGGATTCTAAGCTGTACCTTATCTATTAATTTCCCATTCCTGGAGAAGCTAATGCCAACACATCATGTGATACTCACAATGTGTACAATAAATTATTAACCTGAAAAAAAAACAATTAAGAATTGCATATTTTTGGTTACAGAAAAAACAAGAAAGATTTTAAAAAATAATAGCATAACCACACAAAAGAGATCCAAGTGCTATGTTTGTTTGAATGCTAAATTGAGCACTTTGTGTACCTGTGGTTGGTATCATATGTGAAGAATGAAATGAAAAAATGAATGAGTATTATATGCTTTTGAGACATGCATTTTAAAAATTGTATAACAGATTCTCTCTGCTAAATTACATTTTTACCAAGTAGAAATTCAAGTTACACAAGCAAACTCCAAGTTTAGCTTCTAAAAGAATAGTGTCTTCCCACGTATGTTTTACCCATCTCTCCCAGATAAAGATCAGATTAGGTGTCTGTCATATGGGAATTTCAAAGCAGTTTAAAGACATTAATTAGTTCTCACAACAACTCTGAAGTGGGTGTATTTTACTCATGTCTGTTTTCTATAGGAGAAGACTGATAGTCTGAATGATTTCCCAGTATTCCATATTTCGTTATTGTTAGCGAAACTAAAAATACCATTACTTCATTGGCCTACCTTTTTTCTTGAAAAGAGATAAAGCAATTTTGGGGTGGATAAGCCAAACTAAAATAACTTCTATTCATGTGTCAAATAAAAAAAAAACACACATCACCACACAGGTATTTTTATTTTTCATATTTTCTAAACAATTGGGAGTATATTTAATTAACTCTATACTCCAGTAGTTGCTTGGGAGAATGTTTCTTAATTTAAAATTTTATTTTAACATATATAGATAGTCAGAGGTAAAGCTCCATTGTAGCTTCATCAGAGAGCTCTCTGGGTATTCCGTCAATTACAAGAAAGTACTTACAGATGGAGTAATGTGGTTTAATGAGCAGGAGACCTATTTTTAAAGATCCTGGTCTGGTACACTGAAAAAAA